TTTTTTAAGTGAAATTCTTTTTTCAAGTGTAAAAAAAAATATATACTGGTAGGTCTCTGGTGGTCGCAGTGTCCACCATTACGGAAAACACCCCTGGCCTGAACCTGTGGCTTCTGTTATACTTACTCTATATCCATTATCATTCAGACATTAGGACTATTTGCATACAATCATTAAATTTTGGATTATTAAAGTAAACATCCCATCTATATGGACTAGCTGTCACAGATTTTTCACACAAAATGTGTGAGCCAGTCACAGATTGCGCTACTGATTAAAATTTTATTTTTACCTTATGTGACACTGAGATAGTTGACGTGATATAAAAAATACTACGGTATAGCTCACAATAAGTCATCATATCAGTTTTACTTGGCTAAAAAGTCTGCATATTCAACAGACATTAGCAATTTAAATCAGTGCAATCCGTCATTGGCTCACTTCAACTATGTCCATTTGATAAAAAAAAAAAAAAAAACTATGACATCTTTAATTTGGGGACGGATTATCTAGTACTACGAATAGTCAATGATACAATGTTACTTAATCCGTAACTCTAACACTAACACATTTCTATATAACTACTCAGTATTATTCAAATTTTAAAAACACACCAACAGGACAGTTAGTTAATATGAGTTTTTTCATAAGAAAGGTGTTTTTAGTTTTTTATTCAAGTATTTTGTTCAAGAATATAACTTTTTTATTGAAATGAACAGTGTTTTATTGAATTTGTTTAGTCTTCACTAAACAAATTGCAAATGCAGTCTTCCATCAATATGTAAATTGACGATTTTGCGGACAAAAATATAAATCTGCATTGCCAGCTTATTTTTCAAGGTAAGACTTTGAAATTTAGACAAGATACTAACAACTGCATGTACTTTCAGGAAATAACACTGAATGCTATGAAATATTTTTTGGAATGTAGTTATTGTAAGTCAAAGTGCAAATTTTATATTTTTTTACATATTACGCGTAATATTTTTTATTTTTAGATTTTTCAAAAATGTTTTGTTACTATTATATTTTATATCACTTTTGTAGGCAATTTAATTTACAACAAATCAAAACAAAAAATAAAAAAATCCCTTTACAAATAAAAAAGTAAGAGCTATTTTTCTGCAACACTGCAATTGTATAAAAAATGGCCTTGGCGTTTTTAGCATATATGTAAGTAAAATAGCTGGCGGCAAAAGTGTTAGGGACAGCAGGAACAACAGGAACCAGGAACAGAAACAGTATGGGAGTGAGCTGGTCTATACCTTTAGCAATTCGGGAGTGTCCCTGAACGCCAGGTAGGCTCACACACACACACACTCAGTCCTCACACACACAAGGACAGGGGATTAGGACCGGCCCCATACTGTCCCGCGCTCCGTTAATTAGTCAAAAGTGGCAATTCCTTTATCAAATGTATAATTTGTTAACTTAAATATCAAGCTTAAAATAGTTAGCAGTGACCGATTCTGCTCATCAACACGAGAACATTGATACCAAACACAACGTGCCTTTATAAAACCTGAAATATATTGCAGTTATGTTATGTGAAGGAATATTTATGCAAATCATGGGTTGTTTGGTATCATTTTTATTGTAATTTAAAGGGGAATTTAAATGTATTAACAGTTTCTATTTAAAATTAAATTTTTTTAAAGTTATATTTTGATTACAAGTGATGTCTAAAATGAAAGGAAAGTACGGCCGGCCTAGGGTGGCTAGGGTCGGTCCTAATCCTCTCTGCCCGTGAGGGTGAGTGTGCGTGCGTGAGAGCGGAACTGACCTGGCATCCAGGGACACTCGCAAAATGCTAAGACTATAGTGGTAGAGCAAGGGACTTTGGTTCTGGGTAATCCCACCAAATCACCAATGGATTTTATCCAAGTGATAATGCCGCAACACCTAGGTCTAGCCTGAAGTAAAGTGAAAAACAATACCGGAAAAGAGCCTAGCATCCTAGGACATAATAAACCAAATATAACTTACTAACACAGCCTCGAGATGTTAAATTACTAAATTAGATTAACTCTGAGAAAACAGTTATGACATGTAATACTAGTTAAAATACCCCCGCCGCAGCAAACCTGCACACTAAGCGAATTTCCATTTGCTTGATTGGATTTACACAAAAATGTCTCCTTAAAAATATCACATTTATTTCCTATTTAAATAACATTAATTTAACGAGTACTTAGGTTTGCTGCAACAGAGAGGGTAAAATTGTGTTTTTTTTTTTGTAAAATTTTAATAGTTTAGAATGAAATGAATGCATTTTCTAAATTTGATCAAAATATGTTCATAAACAAGCAAATTACAACAGTTTACTTATTCTCCATAAGAATAACATAGGAATTTTAAATTTACAGTTTTTTGGAATTTTCTCTGTAACCATTAGGCGCATAGTAACGCTTCAATATACTAAATTATTTGTTTTTTTAAGCTCTACAAAATGGTTTGGAAAGAAAATGTTAAATTTTAAGTTTTTAGGGTTAAAAATTGGAAAAAACAATTTTTACCCCATAAAACCCCCCATAATCACCTGTTCCCATAGTTCGATCATGCTGGTTCGCGAAATTGTTCGAATAAACGTAGGTTTACACGTTTGTACCAAATTTCATCAAAATCGGATGAGTTTTGTTCGAGTTATCGCGCTAACGGATACATATATAAATATATATATATGAATTTGAACGGATGGTGTTTTTGGCCTCTAGGGACCTCAAAACGAAAAAGTAAATCGGTCCCGGGTCCAGGTCTTACCATGAGTACTACGGTAATAGCTTATTCCCTATATGGGAAATTTGCTAAAATGAAACTTGCTTCTTAGATATTCTGATTGGGACAACTGTTTAAATGCTTTAAGACTAAACAATTTGTTGACTCACAGTGTTAGCAAATCACACTTCTGGGATCCAGAGAGCACACACAACATGTGCCCAGTGGCCTCTGTCAGTCTGCTTGAAGGCTCCTCCGTTATTGGGACACAACACACAATCCACAGCTCTTGAGGGTGACTGCAAGCACCGTCTACAAACGGAAAATCTTTAACAACAATCCCAATCACTTTGTAACAACAAATTGAAAACATAATCCAGACGTCTAGGCGATTGTTTTGAGCACAGAAACTTCCTAGTGACTTCAATTTCTCTGTGAATATTTAAAGCTACGAGTTCACTCAGTCCATTTACATCCATACACTATATTCACAACAATACGACTGTGTACTACCATTTTAATTGTCAAGGTTAAGTGAGCATTGGAGCAACGGTAGTGGTAACGGCACATGGGCACTTTGAGGCAGGGCGGAGGGCTAACATGCAGCCCCAAAATATGCCAACCGATTACAGGCACTACAGGCTGCACTATGCTTTGGTTTATACAGTGTCTGTCTGCAAAGGCCTAAAAATACTTGTTACAAAACGCCTGCTCCTTACTGTATTTAATGAAGTTCTGTTGTAACTAACTGTATAGGTTTAAGTTTATATTTTTTTAAATAGTCAAAAATGTACATATAGAGCTGACCCTCGACCCCCATAAAGAGCTAACTCTAGGTCCTTTGGGGGGGGGGGGTAAGCCCCCTGGGTGCGCCACTGTTTCCTGGACTGGAGACGTGTTTGGAAATGGCACTCGTAGAAAGTTTTTAATAGATGTCTATAGTCTCAAATCTTTTATCTTCTTATATATGCTGACCACTTGTTGTCGTCATGAGTATTAAGTTTACACACATACAGTACAAACACACAAAACAGTTATTCACACGGAAGATTTACACTTGTTTGCCCGGCCCAATAATCATAAACTCCAGAATTATTAAGGTATAGTCAGCTATTAAAAACTAAAGGTTTGACGATGGTAACAGGTAACTAAACAGGTAACTAACCTATTAATTTAGTGTTGATTTTTAATCTAGGAGACGAAACTAAATAATTAATAACGAAAAAATAATCTTTTCCAATGTCAAATCTATTAGGGTGCTATTTATTTCTCCGCAGTAAACAATAAAAATAACTAGGCTTATTATTGAAATATACTTAGAGTAAACAGCTATTTAAATATTAGACGATTGAGAAGATGGATGTTGAGAAAATACTTTTTGACTGTAACACACACTTTTAAACATTTAATATAATTAGCTTGCGTTGTTATCATAACATTAAAAGTGAAACCTATTAACATCAAATTACAACAGTCACTGATGCAAGAGAACCATATGAAAAATGGTTTTCTCCACTTCCAGCCTCGAAACCAAAACAATTAATTTTTTTTATTTATTATCAATCATCACATTACATCACATTAATTGACAGGTGATTTGTCCATAAGTCTTAATTAATACTAAAAGTTATAAATGAGAAAATTAAAATCTATTTTTGCTCTGATAAGAATTCATCAACACTGTAAAAAGCCTTCTCCAATAACCATTTTTTCAAGGTTTTTTTAAAGCTAGCTACAGACTCTGTGTTTTTAATGAATGTGGGTAATTTGTTGTAAATTTGTGGTCCCATATATTGAGGGGAGAGGTGGAACAATTGAAGCCTATGTTGAACAGGTTTGATTAAATTTTTAAATCTCTTGTTATTATGAGAATGGTTTTGTTGGCTATCCATGAATAATCCTATATCACCCTTCACCATTAAAGCGAGTTGATAAATATATGAACTGTATAAGGTTAAAATTTTAAATAATATGAACAAGTCTTTACATTGTGCAGTCTTAGGAACTCGTGCGATCAGTCTGATAGCTCTTTTTTGAAGAGTAAATATTTTTTTAGCCCGACAGGAAGATCCCCAAACAATTAATCCATAGTTCATAATAGAAGAAAAATAAGCGTGATATGTCATTAATTGTGTTTCTAAATTTGTGGTATATCTAATTACACGAATAACAAATGTGGCAGAGACTAGTCGTTTTGAAACATTTTTAATTTGTTGGTGCCAATTAAGATTTGAATCAAGAGCTATTCCAAGGTAGTTAACAAATATGCTCATGGCTTTACTCACCTGAAAGTATGATTCCTTCTCCAATCGGTCCATTAACAGTTCAAAAGTATCAATTGAAACTTCAGGAACTCCCTGCACTGCTCTCTTCTGGTTGATAATGGTTAACCAGGCAGCATCTTCTTCATCCATGTCATACTCTACTTCTCCGTCCATCTCTTCAGCAGAACGCTCTATGAATCTGTTTAACACAAACAAATTGTCAAGCTCAACATTCAACAAATAAAAATTTTCGTGGGGCGTATCACAACAAACTTGAGTAACTAAGTAAATTAATATCAATACCCCCACCGCAGCAAACCTGCAGACTGAGCGAATTTCCATTTACCTGACTAGATGTCCACTAAAATATTCCCTTAAAAATTTCTGATTTATTTCATTTTTAAATAAAACAATTTTAATGAACACTTAGGTTTGCTGCTACAGGGAAGGTAATGAGGTGTGTTATTTAATTGAAATGTTGGATAGCTTAGTGTGAAATTTTGTTTACCAATTTGCCAAATTGTATTAAAATATATCAATTAGCAAGCAAACACACACTGTAGCCTATAACACTTTATTTATTAATTATTTTCTTTATCAACATCGTACAGTTTTATTCCCCATTAGAATAACATGGGAATATTCAATTTGCACACTTATATCAATCACCCTGTATTGATTGGCTTATATTGATAAAAAAAATTATTAATGTAAAATACACACCTGACGTATGAATTGGTCATTTGTGCAGCGTCTGCAATTTTGTAATTGTCTAGGACTTTGAAGCATGGTTCTGGAAGTTTGGTAACTGCTTCTTGGCTCTTGGCTAAGCTAAGCACACTTTGGGAGATTTCTGTTATAGCCATCTGTAACAACATAGCCTATATACATGTCTGGATGAGTAAAGAGAATCTAATTTATATGTACGTAATATAAAACTTAAGATATAGTAGACTCCCAATTAACCATGATTGCAAAAAATCAAAATCAAAATTTAATATGTTTAATGTACGTTGTGCAGCTATAACCAAGATGTTTAGTAAGAGATGTGTAGGTTGTGTTGCTAGCCTAGTGGTGCAGACTTGGGTGCGAGAGGGATGGGATCAATCCCTGATACATCCACAAAACTTTAATGGGTTTAGACTGCCTTCCCTTAAAAACATGAATTTACTTCATTAGATAAACGCATAGCAAAATAAAAAGAGGAGGCCCATCATCTTGTGAGCAGGCTGTAGAGTGGCTGTAGAGCAAGAGTTATCAACCAATGATATGATAAGTTACAATTCATGTGTTTCAATTTGTATTATTACTAGGACTATACGTCATAGGCTCTCCAATACTATTTGTTTTCTAAGTAAACGACTGTGGAACAAGTTTCAAAGATAAACTACACTGGATTAAAAACTGTATAACAGCTTAATCATCCATTCAAATGTTAGTTATTTCCCAGGCATTTTAGATTAGGTTTGCATTATCTAGGATTTTGACTATCATCCACAATCACTCAATATCGTGAATGATATTAAAGTAGGGGTCCAGTATAAAAATTGCTACTTCAGATTGGACAACAAAGTTTATGTGAGCTGTAACTGTAATACATAATACCCTTGCTGCAGCAAACCTGCCGACTAAGCAAATTTCCATTTGCCTGAATTGATTTTCAATTAATCTATTAAATTAACATTTATGTTTAGCGAGTACCTAGGCTTGCTGCTACAAGGAAACTAATACTGTGTTTTTATTAAAATATTAATACTTTAGTATAAAATAAATAAATCTGCAAAGTTTGATCAAAATATATCCATAAACTAGCCAACTAGAACATTTTACACTAGTCTCCATAAGAATAAGATGGGAATTTTAAATGAACAATTTGTTTAGTTCCCTCCATAACCAATAACCGTACAAAAAATTGTAATACTAATTATTTGTTTTTTTTTATCTCTTTAAAAATTTCTGGCGAAAAATTGAAAAATTTTGTGTTTTAAGTGTAAAAAATTAGAAAAAAACCCATTAAACCCCGTTCCTATGGGGCGATCATGCTGGTTATCGTTAAATTACTCAACGGGCCTAGGTCTTACCATGAGACCTATGGTAAAAGCTACTTCCCTATAGGGAAATTCACTAAAAGGTAGCTAAAGTCAGCAATTTCACAGGAGTAATTTAAAAATTAAAGGCCTTATTCTACCCTATGTTAAAACGTTTTTATTAGCTTACTTTCTTGTCCGGTACAAATTTTGCAATCAATTGTATACCCACTTCCCGATGAGCTAGAGACTTTAAACTTGAAACATAGCTCACAAATGGATGACAATGCAATATTATATCATTTAATTTTTATATTTCCCTTGGGCTATGCCCACGGGCTTGTTTTTATTAGCTCGCTTTCCTACAAATTTTGATATCAATTCTAAACGAAGTTCCTGCTGAGCTAGAGACTTGAAATTTGAAACATAGCACACAAATGGATGACAATACAATATTATATAATTTAATTTTCATATTACCCCTGGGCTACGCCCCACGGGCTTCCAAATTTTCCATGTTTACATTTTGAAAGAATGCAAATATATCAATTGATTTAAGTCAGCTGTAAATACTTAAATTTGACAGTTCGCAGAGCAGAGGTTAAGAGGTACAGGTTTAGCTCCCAATGAGATTCTTTATACAAACAAACATTTCAAAATAAAGATAAACAATCTGATTAGGCCATACATTCAATCTAATACATAATTAATGAAAAGAAACTCAAATAAACCTTAGATTTCCCACATGCCTCTGTCTTAATCTGATGTAGATGCTTGAAATAGATTTAACATCCACACACATTAAAAACTAAAAAGTAGAAAATAATTTTTAAATATGTGGAGAGTATAAATACTTGTAAGATTAAAAAAAAAACGTGGGGTGCATGCAATTGATAATAATACATTAGTTCAATAGGTGTAGTTAATTGTAAACTAAAGCAGGAAACCCACTGGTCCGACACTCTCTGACACGACACCTTCCGACAAAATTACTTTGCATGACTTTAAATGGACTGTAGCCCCCTAGTGCGACACGACACCTTCCGATCCAACTCGTCACAACATTGCTCTCTGGGGCATTGTCGGATCCGTCATTTCTCCACTCTGCATGCACCAGGCCCAGATTTAAGTCACTGTCTAGCTTTGTGTGTGACATGAGTATTGACGAACGCTTGATTAAAGCGGTTTGGGAACACCCCTTTCACAAAAAAAAAAACACAAAAAAGCTGTGTTTTTTTTTTTTTTTTTTACAGTACGTTATAAAAGCTGCCTGAACATATCTGATGATTTCAATGATGCAAGTTCTATGGATTTGAGTGGTGATTGGTTCTAAAATTGTGGACCAACTATTATAAAAAAGATTATGCGAACAAAGAACCATCGGATGAACAAATAATGTCCTCTTTTACTACTCTAGCAGCCAAAAAGTTTACAAAAAAAGCCTGAAATATCTAATTTCTCGTCGGTTACTGACGGAGCCCGTCGGACCAATGGGTTATTGCCTTAAAATTGCGGAAGGCGTCGGAAGGTGTTCGAGACTTGACGGAAGGTGTCGTGTCGGAGAGCGTCGGACTAGTGGGTTTCCTGTTTAAAAATTGTGATATTTCTGCTATTTTTTATTTGATTCTTTTTGAGCTTGGTATCGTTTGATAGGAAATTACAAATGCTAAATAAAACTGCTCTGGACATTTTTTCATAAGCTATATTTTAGTAATTTAAGTTTTACAAATTTAAATGGCTGCCATTTTGTTTTAATTTAAAAGGAAATTACATAATTACTTTTTTTAATTGGCTCTCAACACAATTAATGTATTTTTTAAGTTTGCGTTCCTTAGCTTTAATAATTTTTTAGATATAAATTGTTTGTAAAAAACACAAAATGGCAGCTAGCGACTAAACAAAATTTTTTTCAACCTATGTGTATATACACTTTTTGGTTTGGATTGATTAGTACTATCAGCCCCTAAAGTTTGTGACACCCCTTTATAAACACCATGTATGAATATTATATGGTTTTTCCCCCTACATGCAATGTGTTCACATCTATCAAATATGCATGCCCTTAGGTTAACTTTTAACACTTAAATATAGTTTCAGACAGGTTTACGGCCTTCTGTTTGAATAAAAACAACAAAAGTCTTTCTTCAATTCAAAGTCATCCAATACTTACTTTGTTAACATAGGCTATTTATTATTTTTGAAAATATGTTTAGCAGCAAAAATACACGGCTCAGGTCAACATAACTACCGGTACTGCTAATGATCTAACCTACAACATTACTAATCCCCAACCTTACGTATCATTCACACCACTTATACGACTCAAATCAAAACCATACATTCTTTTTGGACCACCCTTTAGTAATTTTTAATTCATTGATTTTGGCCAGCATGGATTGTCGATCAATCAAGCTAATAACAGAAAATATACGGTACTTAATACTTAAACTTGACTCTTAAAAGTCATCTCATTAAACCCTATTATTAACTTGACCATTTAGTGTTAAAATTATTCAGTTTAATCATTATTTTGCAATGGAGCAATGTTAGAAAAAGCTATTTGATTTAGCTTGTTAACAAGAGGTGATCACTCCACAGTCCTAAAACAAATAAATATAATAAGATTGAATATTGATTTGTCAAGAAATTATCATTCCACAGTTCTAAAATAAATAAAACATCCAAAGAGTGAATCATGGTTATTAGGGAGATGATCACTCAAAAAGGATCATAGGAGCAAATATTGTTCAATCCAGAGGTGGTCATTCTGCAGTTTTCAAACATCATATGAGCATAAATCTATCAAAAACTTAAAACTATAGATCAAGGCAATGTCTTACTTTCATCATTTTTTATTTGATTTTTTACAAGGGTTGTCTGTAAACTGAGGTCTCCATGGAGCTCCTGACGCAGCCAAGCAAGCTAGTTCACATCTGAGACCAAAATAAAGTTTTTTTCTTACTTCATCCACTATTATTGTATCTGGTACCAGCTCCTATGGGACGATTGGTCTGGCCATAGAATAGGAAAAAGTGAAAGAAGAAAATTAGGGCTCTTACCATTTATAAATCACGATATGTGAGTACATTTTTTGAGATCACAGTCGCAAACCGCTATTGAAATCCATCGGACGTGGGGGTTTGTGAATGGATGACTGTGTTTGGATGAAGAAAATGTGTGGAGGAGGTGGATGGAGTTTGGAGGCGGTCTTTGCACAGTATTTTCCATAATGTAGGTTGACTGCTGCTGTTCTTAAGTCTCATGTGACCAAAGAATAGGGGGTAAAGATAGGAGCACCTGACACCAGAGGATGCCGGGTGCGAGAAAAAGAAGACGAGGACGAAAGAGGGAGAGGGATTGGGTGTTTCACAGAAAGCACTGGCACCCGCCTATTCGGAGACACTGTCCGTGGAGAAGATAGCTATCGTCAGATCAGAACACCCGGACAGGAAGCTGACGGAGGCTGAAGCCAACAAAATCAAGAGGGAGCTATCCAGGTGGGCATTCGTGGCAAAGACGTAAAGATAAGCATCTGCCATCTTGAAGGCGGAGCCTTGGTGCTAACGCAGCCACAAAGGATTGGCTGGTCAAGCAAGTTCAGGACCTGAGTCCCTTCGAGGGAATCTCACTACAGCTTGCCTCAGCCAGAGACCTTGTGAAAGCTGTGAAGGTATCAGCGTTTGTCCCCACCTCAACGGGGCAATGACCAAGAAGGACATGATGCAGGGCCTCAAGCTGCAGAATGACCTAGACACGGACCACTGGGCAGTTGTTGGGGGGAAACTCAAACCCTGGTGGACAATTCCTGGTCTTGATAATTGACGAAAACTCCCTGCAGG